CACTTTATCAGTTAAGCCATCAAGCCACACTTTTAGATTTGATCCTAAATGGTGGCTTAACACGTAAAGTTGGCAACTTTATTCTCATGCATGACCTAATGGGACCCAAAACTCAAAAAGAACCATATTAACGATCCTAACACATGCATGGACCAATCTAACTCATAAAGGTTGCATATTTATGGATAAGGGACCTCAAAAGTGCTAAGATCTAACATACATGGCTTCTTAATCAGACCATAATCTCAAATATGGCTTAAAGGACCAAAAAATGCACAAATAGCACCCTAAGTTGGATCCAGCTTAAGGAACCATAAAGATGAGAGGTTTTATGACAGATGGCTTGCTAAGATAAATATGGCTATGGATCTACAAGCTCAAGCCACTCCCAAGCAACCTCAAAGTGTTCTTATTCTTCTACTTCGCCAAAAACACCACCAAAACTCACTTTTAAGCTCAAATCTCACAAATGACAATCAGGGTTTCGATCTTAGGGTATAGAGTGATGGAGGTTGTTCATAAGGAGATACAAGGGTGTCATAAGTTGTTTAAATAGGGCACAAACTCTAAAAATTAGAGTTTTCCCCTACATTACGTATGCCCTACGTACTCTCACATACATCCAACGTACGTAGATGCAATTGTGATCCACCAATGGGCTAGTATGCCCCGTGTACTAGCTAGGGACTAAAATGATAGAAATTTAACTTTAAGGGTTAAAATAACAAACCAATAAATCTCTAATGTTACATTTAGACCCATCACAAGCCTTGTAAGTCATAAAGTTCCTCTTTTTACAATAATTCATACATATATCTAGGCTTGGGTTGAGGTTTTGGTCACTTTTGGTTCCACTTCTTGATGTTCTTTGAGTTTGGATAATTCCATAACATAATGTTTGACTTAGGATGATTTATTGACATTTTTAGAGTCACATAAGTGCATGTTTAGCCTCTCATAGAGTCGTGCAAAGGAATCAACTCATTTAGGGCTCTTATTTGAGTTAGGATTTTAGATTGGATTTGATTGAGCCATAGATATAGAAACAGTTGGAAACTTTACCATAAAGACCCTTATTGGATTTAGATAAGAGAATATAAGCATTGGTCTAAAGAGATTAAATTCTTAACAAGAAGTTGGTTTTGGCTTGCAAAGTGAAACATTATGAAGGAAGGGCCATGACGTGGAGTTTCAAGGGTTGTCATGATTGTCTTTTCGCCTAGTATCCACAGTGTGATTGGGTCGCGACACGTTGATCATTGACTTTGACCAGTTGACCATTGAATTTTTGACCAATTTGACTTTTGGTTAAATTTTGATAGATTTGAGTTATAAACTAAGGTTTTCCCTCTGATTGACAATTAGATGGTTTGGGTAGTTGGTTCCTTCGAGGACACGTGCTTGTGACTTCAACTCTTCACATTAGGTGAGGTTTCTTACTATACTACTGTTAGGGGTATAATTTTCATCTTTCTATTTTCAATAACTTGAACGTATGCTAACATAATGGGTAGCCCAAAATCTTAGATTTAGTCAATATCTTGGGACTGCCTAGTGTTTTCTGTTATCTCTTATGCAGGAATCAATGATTTAACTAGAAAGGGATAGGCCATGTCAAAAGACATGTGATCATAGTGTAATAACATTGAATTCCTTCTAAAAAACCATGTCAAGAACATGTAGGAATCACGCTCTTGCTGACACTCTCACCTTCTCTTTGATTATTCTTGAGCCCGGACTTACAACTAGCACATGTAATTCAGTTTTTATTAATTTAAGTTCTAAGGTCGGTGACATTATCACTTCCCGAGGTTTTATGTCGGAGATCCAAAAGGATTAAGGGATTTCCTTGTATAATTTTCTGTTCTTGCATTTATTTTAATTTTGTTAATGATAACATTTTTTACATGTTTACTTAATCATATATTTGTTTTACAATCGCAATCTTGCTAAAATACCAAGATATTATGTAGTAGCTTGACACCTTTTTGAATATCTTAAGAATTATTACTTTATTTAATAAGTTCACAATTTTAACACTATTTTTGTCCCAATTATTACAAATATACTTATCTTTGATTCAAAACAAATCAACATTTTTAAATAACTCTCAAACTACTATTGTTTTCTTTTCATGATCTTCGTCTTAAACCAAGATCTTTAGCATAATTCAAGATCTTAAGCATTTCACAGTTTAACACTTTATTCTAAACAGCACGCCACACTCACTAATTTGGTTACGAAACTAGTTTATCAATTTTTGACCAAAACAATTTGGCGCTATCCGTGGGACAAGTGGTATTATTACATTTTTTTTCTTGAGATTATTCAAAAAGCTTTTTTTTTGTGATTTTTAGTCACTTACACTAAAAATGTTTACCTTACCAAAATCCACTTCTAGCACTATTCCATCCATTTTTGTTGGTCAAAACCTACCCCCACCTCCTGTTGTTAATCCAAAAAGGGGTAGTGTCAAAGTCTCTAGAAGAACCGTCTCTACATTTTCACCGGTACAATATTCAGGAGGGACAACCTAAGAAATATCGGTCATGGTCTAACAGCGAAGTCATTTCTATGTTGACCAGGATGGAACAACATATTACTAAACAGGGTGAGACCAAGAAGATGATATTCGAAAGAATAGAGAAGTTGTGTGCAGACTCAAGAAGGCCTATGGAAACTACACCAACTTCGTCTTCATTCTTGCAGCCTAACTTCGAAACCGATGCATCTTCAAAACGTCAAGCTGAAGACTTCATATCAAGGTAGGTGCCTATCTTTACAAATGTTGCAACTTCTAGCACTGGAGGTCCTGATTCCTAAGACCTTGGAGGGATATTCAACATCCTTTCTAATACCAAGATCTGGGGATAAGTCCAGCTATGGCGAAGGAACTAACCAATTGAGATACATGATATCAAGTGTACCAAGCATGATTTAACCTATACCATAGGTGTCACCTCTCAACCATAGGGTCTCAAGATATGCACCCGTATTTATGACATCGAAGTTCCAAAAAGGTTCCAGACACCAAACATGAAAATGTATGATAGGACCACGGATCCTGAAGAGCTTGTCACCCAATATAAAGAACACGTGGAGGTTGTTCCAATTCCCTAACATTTTAAGGAGGCTTTCCTATGCAAGAGTTTTGGTTCAATCCTTAGAGGATCTAGATTAAAATGGTTCCTAAATGTTCCTCCTTAATCCATCACTTTTTCTCACATCTCATTAACTTGTTTAATAATTAATTTTCTTGTAGTAGAACTTTTGAAAAAGTAACAAGTGACCTTTATAGAGTAACCCAAGACAATAATGAATCATTGAGGGATTATGTTAACAGGTTTGGGAGGGAATCCCTAAATATTCTACATCTAGATGTTGCGACAAACATAGAAGCCTTTAAGATATGACTAAAGAAAGATTCTCTATTTTTACGAGGATCTTGTCATGACCCCATGCAAGAAGTTGGATAAAGTCAGAATAGAGCCCTAAGATTCATCAAGCTTGAAGAGGACAAAAAGATCCAGAAAAGAGCCAACACCATCTTACGATCATCCGAACAATAAGAATGAATCTTAATCCTAAAAATCTTACAAAGCTAAATCTTACTCAAGGTCTAAGAACCACAAGGTTAATGTTCTAGAAGATGAAGATTACCCCAAGATATTTGACTACTTTCTTTTTGTTAATGTTTCAGGTTTGCTCTATGTAACGCATGATCTTGTAGACAATGCAAGATGGCCCAAGAGAAACGATAAAGCATCATGATCGAAAGATAAATCTAAGTGGTGTGCTTACCACGAAGATTTTGGACATCTTACCGAAGATTGTTTCGCTTTCAGAGATATGTTACGTGTTTGAGCAATGACACTTAAAGGAACTCTTGGGGAGAAGGAAAGACAAGATCAACCAAAAGGCCCAGGATCCGAAAATTCTTCCCCAAATAATAGCATCTCCGCCCTTAGATTAATTTACACTCGTCTTTATGAAATGTTTTAAAGGTTTTGTTATACTTGACTCAAAAGCTACAATCATTGATCATTTTTAAAAGATTTTGTTATAAATGACTCAAAAACTACATTACCTGATGGTAAAAAGCTCTTAGAGTTGCTGGGTTGATTATTAAATATTGAACTATAAAATTTAAAAAAAAAAAAAAACAAATAAATAAAATAAAACTCATATAAGATATGCTCTACAGTTAAAATTTTGAAGTTGATTTTACGAGCACCGTTGATTATAAAAATCCTTATTTAATCATATCGTCTTATTAAAGGAGTTGATTATAACTAATCATGGTCGGATCAATTACAATAATAGACTAGGATAGGTTAACCACCAAACACGAACAAATCTTTTTTTATGTTTGTTTAAGTTTAACCGAACAAATGAATGAACACAATATAAAGAAACAAACTTTAACAATATATTTGTCCATGTCTGTTCGTGTTAGTTAATAATCTTGTGATCTAAACACATTTGCAATTAATATTAAAAATAAAACTTTTACTAATATATAACTAAACATTGAGACAATAAAACTTCAAGTGATAAGAGCCATATTTGGAGAAACTAGTTGGCTTGTTTGGGTCAAAACCAGAGCCCTTTGACATGAATTCTTTAAGAACTTCTGGTCCAATACTTGTATAGTAGGACGATAAACGTGTTATATTCATTTCATTAGTTCGAACAAACCGTTGTTAAATAGTTCAAGTGATAGAACCATATCAAGTAATCATTTCATTGGTTCGAACAAACCGTCGAATAATTGATTAATTCCTCACGTAATATTTATCATTCCTTAATCCATTTTTTAAAGAACCGTTTATAATGACTTACCTACAAATTTGACCATTTTTTTATCATACAATTAACAAGCCATACTAGTATACTAAGACAATAAACGTGTTATATTCAACGTGTATGAGCGTATGCAATGAATTAGACATGTCAAAAAACCCTCTTCTTAAGAAAAGACTAGTATACCCCTCCACCATCCGTCAATTTAGTAAAAAAAAAAAAAAAAAACTAAGACAAGGGTAAAGAATTGTCATCCCTATTTCGTTAACAATTTACACCAAAACTAATCTCAAAAATACATTTTTAGTAAAACTCAACCCCACCAAAACCAAAAATCAAAATTTACAGTATTCACTTTTTCTCTTCACCATCAGTATGTGTTTCAGAACGTGGCGGCCCGCCACCCTCTGCCACCATTTCATCGGCAGCAGTGGAAGATGAAGCCTCCCTTTCATCTCCCCTATCACTAGTCTCTACCTTTAGTGGTTCAGGTTCACTGCTCAACGGAGATGTTCCGGAGGGGTCGGTGGCGGTGGTGGTGGTGGTGCCACCTGGTTCGCCGGAATCTTTCCGGTCAACCTGTTCCGGTGGTTTATCGGTCTCACTGGGTCTCGAATCATTGGTTGAACTCGTGGCGGTGTCTGACAAATCATCGTTGTTTTCCGGCGTGAAACCGCCATCATTGCCGCCAGGGGCTGCCTCGGTGGTGGGAGGAGGTGAGGCGGCATTAGTTGATGGTTTGGAATCCACCTTCTCTTCATCCGCAGTAAACCAATTTGAATTTGTAAAAAGAGATCCCCTGCAATAAAATTTTCAACAAATAAATCATTTTAATTATTTTCTCTAGTGATTAAAACATTATATATATACACTTTTTGACCATTTAATTAAACCAACTTTTCAGATGAAAACAAAACACAATGTATTTTCACTATTTCATGCATTTATCCATTGAACAATTTAGTCACTCAGCTATTACTATAATAATAAGACAAAATTACAGTTTTGGTCCATGTGTTTTACCAGAAATGGCATGGTGAGGACAACTATGGAAATCTCTACATATTTGTCCCTGTGATTTCAGTTTCTTGCGTGGTTGGAAATCTCTACTAATTTCCCCTGTTTTTTTTTTTTTCCAATTTTATTAATTATATAAAAAACATCTAACCCACCATTCCATTTCTGTCAAACCATAGGGACCAAAACTGTAATTTTGTCTAATAATAATAATAATAATAATCATATAGATATGATAGTCCAGAAACCAACACATGGCAATAGGAAACATTTGTGACTATATGATTAAAAGTCAACCTGATTGGATTATATTAATGGAAATTTATGTGCTTTGAATTCAGCCCTAAATTATATAAAACAAGATAATTAACAAACCTTTCTTGGTCATCTCCCAATTGAAGTGAAGATATGACTACTTCAGCAGATTCATCATCAAAATACACATCCTGCAAAAATTCACTTATTTCTCATGTCACAAAACCAAAACATATATAAACTCACACATAGTTTCAACTTCAAGCATAAACCTCTACTTTCACTTTTTTTTTTTACCAAATTTATGAAACAATGTTTCAACTTTTACCAATATATGCAACCATGTTTCTACAGGTTATATGTAAAATATTGCATATTTTGGTCTTAAAATGAAACTATAAAAATAAAAACACTTTATTGCATGTATTATGAAAATTGAAAAAAGGTAAAATACTTGACTCCCTTTTCTTCTTCTCTTTCAGTTTTTTTCTTTGTGAAATAAAAGACTAAATTACATACCTCATCATCTCCTTCCATTGAGCCATGAGCCTGAGAACACAAAAATAAATAAATAAAATTCAAATTTTGCTTTACAGGCTACCAAAGTTTTTTGTTGTACATAAAAATATTCGAAAATAAGCAAAGACTATTGAAAAATACAGATATTATAAGTAATAATACAAATACAAATGTATAGTGAGACGTATGATTTTCATTTATTTAATGAGTAAATGAGATTTTGAACCATAATGACGTATTAAAAATCATTTATACATACAGCTCTTAATAGAAAATTAACTTTGTTAATTTATTTGGTGATGTGGCATATTAACATGATGACAATTAAAAAACAATAACAACTCATTCCACACCAAAAACTAGAAAATAGCTTTCCCTTTTTCCTTTGTTGCTAGGTCTTTCACATTCTACACATGAAATGCATGCTTTGGTGCCTACTAAACTTTCATTGTAAACAATTAAAATGCTTGTAGAATTTTGTGGCAAAGCTTCATGTATATTTAATTTGCCTATTCTTTTGAAGGCTGATTAAAGCTCTAAAAGCTTCAACTTTTTTTAGTAATGTTAATAATAATAACAATGACAAATGACTATAATATATTATAATATAATTAGTAATACGAATAATACGAAAATACTAAAAATAAAAGGAAAAAAACATACTACTAATACGAAAATAATGATAACAAAACTTATTAATATTAATAATAAATGACTATAATAAAATAATAATAGTAATACGTTATTATCATAGTAATATTAGTAGTAGTAGTAGTATTATGAATTCCCTTCACCTAATAAGGTATTTTTCTCCAAATTACATGTTCCGGTGGAATTCATTTTGATGGAATTCGTCATTCCATAGATGTGTATGGAAGGAATGACGAATTCCTTTTACCTAATGGTTTACAAATTTAAAAGAATTTTCACATCGAGGTCGTAGTCAAACACGCAACAAGTTGCACTGCTAACCCTTATTCTTTTATAAACTACATCTATAGATCTTGTGGTCATAACAATATAACATTACTATGCATGACCTGTTGGTGGGGTGGAGTCTACTGAGGAGTTCCACAACATCTTGCACAAGGAAACCAAAAGTATCAAACGTGAATGCTATAAACACGTGTTGATTTTCCATGCACGCTTTCTCATGCTTTGTCACTTTGTATGATGTAGCTTTTAAAGCAAACTGCCCTGCCCCACACCCCAGTGAAACCCCCAAGAGTAGGGAAACCATGAATGGTATGTTTCCCTCTTACCCATCTAAAAACCAAAATAGGTTTGTATGGATGGATAGAATTCAAACTCCAACAAATCCGAACTAATAAGTTCGATCAATGTGGTAATTGTGGGGATGAATTTAGCACTACTTTTGTATGTATTAAGTCTAGATAAAACACCCTTATATATCTACTTGTATTAAGTGTTGTCCCCATTAAGTTGAAAAGAAACACCACCTTAGCTTAGGGTTTTACATATCTTAATTCAATCTCCTCTATCCTCTTATTTCAATTTCTACTATTGCCAGTCTTTTTTTCTTACTTTTCTCATCCTCTCTCCTATTCCACTAAAATTCGCCTATACCTTTTAAATTATCGCTCGTTCACCAAACAAATTTGAAACTATTATTATTATTATTATTATTATTATTATTATTGGAAACGGAACTTCCCTAACGAGGGTTCCAAGCCAGCTTTCGCGCACCAACTAATCCTCCATTGCAAACATGAGGCTATGCATCATGCCCTAGACCTAGAGTCATTGCAGACAGACGAACCTCCATGGCCACAGGAGCTGAGTAGTGCCAAGATTTGAACATGGGTCAATAGTTTATACACCATATCTTCCACATGATTTACCAAGTCACCACAGCCCAAGAGGTCAACTATTTTATAAAATTAAACTTCCGTTCTAAGGCATACACCACCCTTTAATTCCCTCCACCAACGGGTCCCACATATGTAGACAGTCATACCTCCACTCATGTAGAGAGTGGGGACTAGACCTTCCAATAAAAACTATACAAGATAGCATATATTTCATTTTCTACTGCTTTTCATATCTTTTATCTTTACAAAAGTTGGCATGTATAAATATTAAACAGAATTTCTACTAAGATTACTTTTGAGTATTGAAATGACTATATACTCACTTAGGTGCTTTTATAGGGACTTAATATAGATAGTGGTTGGCCATGGGTGTCATTTCTTCATTCGGTTTACTATTTTATATATAATCTCTTTAACTTGCTCTACAAAACCTCTGGGTTTCTCTTCTTTGTCTCTTTTAGAGGAAGGTCGTTTTAGTCTTTTGATCTCCCTCTTTAGATCTTCTATATGTTCACCAACTAGTCTTTTCTTTCTCATCAAATCTCTTTTATCCCGTTCAAAGTCAACAAAACTCATTCTTCGTGGGTGTATTGAATTTTGAGGAGCCTTAGGACAATTCCCATTAGCACCCTTATGATGATACTCATGATGAAGAACATTATGGGGCATTTCAGACATTTCTCCTCTTTCCATTTTCTTTGATTTTTCGTTTGAGGTCAACACACTGGACCCTTCTTGTGATACATATGTTGGCATGATTTCTTTCCCTTTGTTCATCTTCAAGACCTATCATCCATGGTTTAATTACATAGACTACCATGCAGCATTTGCTACCATTTACACCGACTTAATTTAGTCGATTTAGTTTCTTTTTTTTTTACTAAACTTCTATAGTAACATATATTATCACAAATATATTATAGAACTATACTACTTTCCACTTTATAAGTTCATCAAATGCACGTGTAAAGTATTTGTTATTCCTTTCTTTCTATAACTCTATTAACATGTATGATAGTTATTTAATATTTATCATTTATATCCACAAGCAAATAACATCGGATAAACTTTGTAGCAAAAAGTTGAGCAAGCAAAATTATAACAAAAAAATTGGATACCTCGTTGCTATCAGCATTTTCATAAAAACCATACCCAAACGCCTGGCTTAGATTATTGGTTAAAGTTGCCACATCATAATCTTTGTCATGGTAATCATCATCATCACTATCCCTACTTGGATCATGAAGTGGTGTAGGTCTCCTGTAGATTTGGACAAGTGAAAGGAACATTTTTGTACATCGATTAATTCTAGACACAAGGGCAAAATAGTCATTTACCATGATGCAACATAGATAACAAATGTTAATGTAGAATACCTACCCGCAAGCCCACTGTAAGACATTTTCAAGTGCATTGCGTCCCTCAAGTACATTTGCATGCCACTCTACCCATTCGCTATTATTCTGTCAAATTTTTATACATTTTCAAAATACAACAAAAAGACTCCTATTATAGCATCCTAATTCCATTGCTTTCTATTAAAACATTGAACTTACAAATTCTTATTAAAACATTATATTTTGAAAAATCCACCCGATTACAGTAGTAAAAATTGCTTTGTATTTGGATAACATTGCTACAATCAGGTAGAATTTTCAAACTACAAAGTTGTAATAAGGAGAAATGAAAGCAGTATGCTATATAATACACAAATCAATAAAAAGTAAATTGTTACTTTTTGAATTTGACCCTAAAAGGAAACATCCTAACCCCATGAAACATAAGTAAAAAAAAAAAAAAAAAAAAAAAAGTGACAAGTGTTGTGTGGATAAAGAAATCACTTTTTTAAAGTTATGAAATTAATAAAAATAACCTGCAAATGTGCCTGTATATAGGTGTTATCAGTCCCTAATTGGATGAGTTTGTTGGCTATACGTGTCATGTGTCCAACATTCCCTATCCTAGGTGGCACTCTTCCTTCAGCAAGGACTGTTGGCTGCAACAATATTCACCAAATTCAACATGAGAAAGAATATAAAAGTATGTATTTTTCACATAACACAAATACATACTTTTCTATCTTAGCATTTCACTTCTATCTCTTTTCTATGATATTGAACCTAAAAAAGATGATTATAAAAGTTTACCGAATCAATCTTTTTGTCAGTATCGGATGCACTGTTCTTCTCAGCATCAATAATGTTCCTGACAAGATTACAGTCCTCAAGAATATGTTCAACCAGTGAAGCATTCTTGCTCTCAAGGCAACAAACTATAATCTGTTCAGCATGGTGATGAATGAAGTTATTGTATGGATACCTAAAAGCCATCAAAATTAAGTAAGGTTAAATAAATATATAAATAGAGAATATATATATTTTACATATAGAGAGAGGAAAAATGGAAGACTTACTGAAAAAATAATTCTAAAATACGTCTTAAAACACCAAGGCGAACTAACTCATTCTCTGCAGCTTCACTTCTAACACTCATTAGCACTGAGATGAATTCAACAATCTGAAAAATTCGAGTTTCAAGATAATAAGATACTTCAACAATGAAAAGGGTATACATGGAAAAGAATCAAAGATACCTTAAGGCGATGTTTCCCAAGAGGTGGTTGCAACTTGCCATATGTTGTTAGTAAAACGTTTTCGTCTGTTGAAACTTCCAACAGCTTTGACAAATTTCCTGCATATGAGAAAGTAGCTTCATCAATGTAAAAGAGTACATTAACTGACATGATAGAATATGGTTTAATAAATGATAGATTATAAGTCCTTTGACAAATTACATTTATTCGAAAAATCATTCTACAATAATGGAGAAAAGTCTAGAAAATAAAGGTTAAAAACTTGAATTTATTCACTAATTTAACATACCTAAGCTCTCCAACATGCCTTCCACAATCTCTGGATTTGTTGTTACTGATGAATTATGAATCAATTGTCGATTATAGAAGTAAGATGTTGCAGATGTTTGTCTATTTGGATCTAACAAACATATACATACACACAATGCATTCACTAAAACCGATTTTGGCCTTGATTCCCCCAATGCATGATGAAATAATCTTGCTATGAAACTGAAAAATCACACATGAAAAAATTATAAGTAGAGATCATCAGCTGCAAACAGCCAATAGAAAAAAAAAAAAAAAAAAAAAAAAAAAAAAAAAAAAAAAAAAAAGTATAAACTAAAGGGCGTTATCGACATTTGACACTAACCTTGGACTGGATATTTTAGCAGCTAAACCTGGGGAAGCATATCTACTTATAGCACAAAGTGTCTCTGCTGCATTCGCATGCACTTGAGGAGAATCCTTAAAGAGTTTGAGTTTTCAAATTTTAGTTGAAACGATATTTTTTCAAGTAAAAACTTTACATTTAATAGATAACTTACTGAAGAACTGAATTTATCAACAATCATTTTTAACACATCAATGTCTTCTAACCACTTTGTTGAGTCTGCAAAACTGGTGTAGAGATTTTCATCAGCACCAATTAGACGAATAAGCACCTGTTCAGTAAAAATATTTTGGATTAGAAGGGGTAAAGATACAGGGGTAAAACGGTAAAAAAAAAGTAAGGAATAAAAAAGTTAGAGAATAATAATACACCTCCATGATGGATGTAATTCCTACTAGGTCAACCAGCTTTTGGATAATGTCTGGATGTGCCTGATTACAAAATCGTTAACAACTTTGTTATGTAATTATATCAAAAATATTATGAATACATATACAAGGGTAAAAAGGTAAAAAAAAAAAAATATGTGGGGAACTAACTTGAATGTAGTTGATTAAAGGAGCCGATTTCCGCAACAATAGGCATGCAACAACCTACATAAGATAATTACACATGATCATCCATCTTAAAAGTCAAATTGGAAAATTAGAAGTATGAATTTTTACAAAAGTAAAAGAAAAAAAATTACTTTACTGAAGTAACCAGCCAGTAGAGTACAATGAGGGTGTTCTGGTTCCAAGAAGGAAAACAACAAGTTCATTAACTGAAAAAGAAATGAACTTATTATCATCATCATAGTAAAAATAAAAAAATTAAAAAATAAAAATACTCAATACTTTCTGATTCTTGATCTTATAAGCTAAAAGATAAGATACTAATGGTTTTTTACCTCCTCGTCCTCTACCAAGGTTTTGAGTATGATATCAACTTCACAGGTAAATATCTCACAAGCAATAAATGGGTACCTAATAAATAAACAAATAAAAATATGTTGGTGAATTATATTTATATAAATATGAAAGAAACATATTTTCCATGTGGGCCCATGGATACCTACTTAAAAGCACGTCCTTTTGCAGCATCCTCAGGAGCTTCTTCCACTATGTACCTCAAAAGCTGTTCAATTTGAGTCCTTTCCCTCAAGCTACAATGAACAGCAATTGAATTTACATTAAAATTCCCAAAAAAATAAGAGCAATTGAATTTACATTTATATGACAAATACTCTGCATTAGTATAACAAATAATACCAACTTCAGTAATTCACAAGTTGAATAAGTCAAGAAAAGAGTCAGTTCACCCCATGCAAAAGAAAATACAAAAAAGAGCACCTAATATATGAATGTATCACTATAATGCATCAAAAGGTCACTAAGCTGCATTTACTATTAGATTATTAAATAATGACTCAAGCCTTGTTTATCAGCAAATAGCAGCAAGATGCCTACTCTGCAAAACATACAGAATCCAAGAAGCCAAGATGTGCTCATATAGATTTAAAGGAGCTGAAATAAAACAAGAAGTAATTTAGACAATAAATGAACATAAAGGCATATGAACCACTATATACAATATTGTAAATTGTAATAATAATAATAATAATACCACCAATGAGTTATGAATGGTAGAGGTTGCTAGAATTAGAAAGAACATTTTAGCTTACAAATTGATAAGTCGGCTATTAAGAGCTCTGCATTCTTGAATTATTTCATCCTCTTCAAGAAGCTCCTCTAGTGTAAAGTTTTCCTGATCCAAGATTGTGTCCACCTGGATTCAAAAAAAAAATCGATTTAATTTTAAGATCATAAAAAGTCAAAGTTACAGCAAATTAAATCTTCCCAGTCTAATAAAGTTGAGCAGAAATATAGACTAAGTAACAATAAATCAACACTCCATTTTGGGTTGTCCCTGAAAATGCAGATTTTCCTTTTTTGGAAAGTTCACAATCCCAATTTACTTTCTTCTCATTTGTGATTGAGATCCCATTATCAATAACTTCTATAAAACTAAGGCCCAAGTCAAATGTTTTAAGTTCTTGTTCAAATCCCTTAGCTTACAAAAAGTATGCATGCATCCACATAAATAAAACCACAAGCCACTAGATGAATATTATGTATTAAGTACATCAAAAAGATAAAAGCAGCAAGATTTAAGAAAATCCCCCACTGGTGCAAAATCATATCAAAATATATAAAACTTCAAACTACTAATCAAGTATAACCACAGATCCTTATCTGGATAGATATATCAGATGAACTCAGATCTCTTGTTTTGTCATTATCTACTGATGATTCTTTAACAAAGAGCAATTACTCCTTTACAGAAATTATAAAATCAATCGCTGATTACCAAAAGCTTTCTCCTTAATTGAAAAAAATAATTACCCATCCAGGTCCATTATATGTAAACTCCATATTATATGGTTGGTTCATTTTCATTTAACTACAAAACCAAAACAAAATATACAAGTAAAATGAGTGATTACAAGATCTTACAGGTTATCAGTTTATCACTCATGCTAGTTTATTTTCTCTATATATAAGACCATGGTACACACTTCTAAGGGAGTGACTCTGTTACAAGACTATACCTCCACCAGAGGACAATGTTGCAATATACCAGTATACATGTGAGATAGCTATGACTATGGAAAGGTAGGCTAATCCAAATGCAGTATTGGCTTCCTCAAGAGTATGAGTACACAGTCTCTTCTAAAACCCTAGGGAATTTGAAAGCATTTACAACAACATAGACCTCCTTCAACTAATCCAGAACAATAACGAATACAAGGGTCCAAAAGCGTCCCTATGTAAATTTGACATGATTCTAATTAATGCTTCCATGGAGTATCAGACGATCAATTACACAGCTCGCCATTCTGAGGTTATTTCAATCACACTATTGCATTAGATACCGCTTGGTTCATTTATACAAACAGATGCAACTCCTTTCAATGAGTCCAACCTTATAAACCTAAAACCAAAGGGGAATTCACTATAATACCAAGAAAACTCAATGGCTAAGTATGAACACCTTCACGATATGTAGGGCTTTAGAGAAAAGAAAGAAAACACCTCAACAAACGGCACATACTTGCTATTTGTTTAAATGCTGATCAATCTAAACCACAGTTCAAATAGATGCTTATAAGCAGCTATAAAATTCAAAAAACAATGAAGCGCTTACCGGAGATACAGTGGACAAACCGGTCATACGCCAAAACATCTTCAACGATCTGAATTCAGATCTGCAGAACTGCTTACAAGAAACGCAACAAGAAGCTTGAAAGATCAATGAAGTGAAACCCTAGATTTCGAATTGAAGAAAATTACGTATCTTGTATTATCGAAAGTTAAAAAAGTGGATTATGAAAAACAAAAGGATATAAATGCATTAAACTGCTTCCAAATATCAACCAATACTTTATAAACGTTTATATTTTCCTTAGAAAAAAAAAATACGGTTATTTTGATACTATATAAAAATGGGAAATTTAGTTAAAAGAGATAACTTACAATTGGATACTTAAATTAAACCTTTGGGTTAGAAATAATAATATATTTAATTTATATGGGAAATTGAAATATTATTAATAAAAAAAAAATTCCTAACACCGTATTCCGGAGTTACCATGGGTGATTTTTGACGTAAAGTTGTCCATGAATTTACATAATCAACTCCGAATTAGCAGACTCAATGTCGTAGTGTCATATGTCAAACTTACATTTCGGACTGTCTTTCAGCATTCCAAATTATATGTGTGGATATGTTGACCGTATGCAACTATCTAAGTACATTCCGAACACATAATTTTTAACACTTATTTCAAATTATTTTAAACTACATATGTTATATTTTCCATCATTTTTTCTTTCACTTATAACAAAGATTTGTAATTGTATTTTAGAATTTATAAAAAAGGGTCACTCATATCGTGATCAAAAAAAAAAAAAAAAAAAATTACAATCTCCATGTTTACTTACATAAGCTTAAAAAAAACAACTTCCATAGTTTTACCAACATCACTTGTTATGGATTGTTTTCAACTTTCTTCTATGGCTCCTAGATGTGTGTTAAGAAACATTTTGTAAAATCTTAGCTATTAAATTTCAGTTATTATTTTGGTTACATTTGACGTGGCAAGTAAATATAGGTTAATGCATTCCTTGTATATATATTCTACAATGATCTTGGTGATTTATATAGGGAGTGTCCATCTGAGAAGGGACTACCTAAGGTTAATTTTCATAGTGGTTACTATGGATGGAAACAACTAGACCCTGCATGTAACGTTTTATCTGGGCGTGACAGATGGTGTCGACTCTTGTATTTGGTTCATGCGGAGGCTAAAGAAATATCTCAAGAACGCTAGTGAATTAGCGTTCATAACCGATATGGATATTGGATAGACTTTTCAGTTGGCTAGGTCTTCCTATATTCATTTCACTAGTATTGTTGTAAGAGTGTACCTTTAAGTTTGCAGATTAGGATTGGTCGAAGTATACTAATGAAATATTTGTTTTTGCTGACATACAAGTCATGTACAATGTTAGATTTTGAACGGAATTTTGGTAGACTAGAACATGTCGTTGGAGAAAAATAATGCCCCTATGTAAATATATCGTACTATAGACAAAACACCTATATAAAAAAAATTATATAACAAATATACAATAATCTTTATAATCAAATAATTCATATCAAAACTTATTTGTTTTTGTAACACTCAAAATCTAAGCCAAATTTAAATTTTCAAAAACACGTCGAATTCATCAAAACATTACAACTTTGTTTTCAAAATACATTTATATTAGAGTTTTCCCATAAACATAACACAATAGGAGGAGCTGTACGATCATGCCTTCGCCTTGCCACGATCCCCCTGAGGTACCTGAAACAATAAAGTGAAACTGTAAGCCCGAGAGCTTAGTGAGCTACCCCCAAAATACCGATACACATACAGTCCACATAGCAATATCAACATTGGCATATCATATCAATCAAAAACAGAACAGCATGCACTGGGTCCACAACTTTACAAGCTGGACTACCCCTCGGCCCTCAGTACGAGTCTGGAATGCCTACCGGGCCCTCAGCTCGTATCTGGAATGCTCTCGGGTTTGTTGGCTACCGCACGGAGTAGTACAACCTCAACCCACCCCACATAACATGTCGACATGTAACAGATAAATGCACATACTGGTAATCAATCAGTATCACAGGCAATCCTACAGATCTACCTGACTAGCATATCAACTGGCATACATTACTAACTCAACTCAACATATCAATAACTACTAGGATATCAAATCCATTGGGGCGGCCTTGGTGCCTTAGACCCCTTAGTATAGTGAGGATAACTCACCTCGCAACTGTCGTCGGAAATAAGAAAGCTCAACTCCGGGGTCCAACACGAACTTCACCACCTAAAAGTACCACACGACCTTTTTCATAAATCTCCCAATCCCAGAAACCCACATAATTCAATTGGTCAACCCCTTGGTCCAAGTCAAAGTCCACAGTCAGAGTCAACAATCTATGTTGACTCGGCTCGCCGAGTGCAGGTCGCCGACTCGCCGAGTTCTTCCTGAGTTCGAGAAGTCGTGGAATCCTCGACTTGCTCGCCCAGGTCTCCTTTTAACTCATCGAGTTCATATGCGGCCAAGATTTTAGGAGAAACCATATCCAACTCGCCGAGTTTTCTAACACTCGTCGAGTTCAAGGCAATCTTCAACGAACTCGCCGAGTTGTTCATCCAACTCGCCGAGTTCATGGCCATCTTCAACGGACTCGCCGAGTCACTTAATCAACTCGCCGAGTCCATGCAGATCTTAATCCATGCAGATGCTCTTTAAGCCATGGCAAGGCCCCAAATTACAGATCCAAGCTCCTAAGGCACGTTTATTACGTAAAGTTGCAATCTTTACGTACATGCAAGGCTCTAAGGCCCGAAATGATCAATCTAAGCTCTTTAATGGAGTTTTACACCTTGGGAGGGTTTCAACCTTGCACAATCTGGAAACTTTATGGATCTAGAGGTCAAGGGAAGTCCAGATCTGAAGTTATAACTTCAGATCTTAACTTAAACATGGAGAGTCCTTCATAACACCCATCCAAGGGAGGTTCAAAGTGAAAAGGCTTAAGGAATAGCCTATTACCTTCTAGAGAGTGATGTATGATGCAATCCCTTAGTTTTCTCGAGCTCCTGGCCTTGCTTTTCCTTGCTTCTTCAAATGCTTCCTTCCAAGGTTACTCTTTCAAGCTTGGACACCAAAGAACACACACACACACGCGTTTTAGGGTTTGAGAGGGACAAGAAGCATAAGGGGAGGCTAATGGAGGCCAATGATCCGTTAAATAGGGTGTAAAACCCTAGAATTTAGGGTTTCATCTGCCAGCTCCTACTCGCCAAGTCCTTTGGTGGACTCGCCTAGTCGGTCACTAAACACGCGATCGATTCCCACTGCTACTCGGCGAGTAGGGCAACCAACTCACCGAGTAGGTCATAAGACCAATTATTCTTTAATTAAATTTATACATGGAATCGGGACGTTACAATTTTCTATATATAACAATTTAATTTTACAATTTACATAATATCCTTTACAAATAGATACAACAACCCACGCCTTCATCCTAGCATATCCCACATTTACACTAGTTCATTCAATTCCCTTTTCAACCTCAAGAGTCCCTTATAAAATCATGATAAGCATCTTATCATACCTTTTGAATATTATTGTTTAAAAACTCATAACCCAGTGAAGGGAGTGTCATGGAATTTGCTTATATACCTCTCTCACATATTTCATTGGACAACATATTTGCTTGACCATGCTTCAACAAAACCATCTCATTTTTTCCACATTTTTATATAAAATGTTCCTGCATTTGTTGTTCTTAGTTTTCTAGGTACAATTTACTAAGAAAACTTCATATATTACAATTTAGATGAAAAGTTGAATGATGAAGTGATTATAGAAGTAAATTATTAGACCAAACACAACCATCAAGCAATAATATGAATATAAGATAGTAAAGTAAACTACATATATTTACTGCCTTAAAACTAAGAAGCAAAGGGATTTGCACCCATTCTCTTCACATGGGACACTTTAGTTTAGATACAAACATCAAGAACAAAATATGCAATTTACTCTAACACTTATTTAACATGTGACAAAAGATGTGTATATACAATACCCAAGACTGAATGTGTCTGACTTGGTAATATCAAAATGGGTAAGGGCATGACATCCCTTATTTTTGGTTATTTTTAAAACCAATTTAATCTCAATTTTAAAACAAACTGTATATTTAATAGTGGAAATTCCCAATTTTCAAAAACATTTCATTTTAAACTCATCGGATGTCAAGTGTGTATATATCAACTCACAAGTAAAAGCTTGCTTGGTATAACGAACATAACACAATGGCTAAAAGTCTAAGGCCTCTATACTCTCAAACGTCACTAAGCATCCCCTAACAACAATCACCAGTGTAACACATCAAAATAGTATGTTAGGCTCGGGATCCTAGCGAGATATATAAGGATTCGACCCATGCATATATATATATATATATATATATATATATATATATATATATATATATATATATATATATATATATATCTTCCTATTCCAATAAAAAAGTAATTTTTAATCTCCTTTTGACATGTATCACCATATTAAGCCTCATAATTAATGCAAATTTTATTTTTCTTTTGCCATGTTTCACCTTCTTATGTCTTATAATTAATGCATACCATTTGTCAACATATTGATTCTCTATTTCAAAATTTAAATTTTAAATTTCTCATTCTAATTACATTAAATTAACAACATTAGAATAAAAATTAAAATAAAATTAATACAAATTATAAAGTGATATAATTTTATATATTTATTTAAATAAATTATTATAATTTTATATAACTGAAAAAAACCTCTTAATTAATAATTTATTTAAAATAAGTTATTAATAATTTTAAATTTTAACTATTAAAGTTTAATTAATTTTATAACCGTGGTTCCCACGGGTTATAAACTAGTATATATATATATATATATATATATATATATATATATATATATATATATATATATATAGGTTTGAACCAATAAAACATACAAAAATGTATTTTAACGTTTAATCACATAAAATCATATACACATGTTATTACACCATGCCTAATCTTGCTAAATCCATAACACAGACTCACTACTTCGAACCCACATGGGGATACACCAAATGACCATAGACGTGACAAGGGATGAAAAAACCAATCCACCAATTGTCCCAACATTTTGGGTCACCTATTGGTCCAAGTACAGTTTTATTAGACAAAGGTGCATCATGTTCGAATATGAACATGTGAATCCAAGTGTGACTTTCAACATATGCAAGCACATCTTGTTCCTATCACAACATGTAGC